CCTATCTACATGAAGAACTGAAGCATTTGGGAAAAAATTAGTCTAAAAATGACAGCCTATTTTAAAATTACCTAAATTTAATTATTTTTGTCTCACAAAGATAGTGTCTCTTTCAGCCTGGCCTGATCATTTGTCTCCCTTCTTTCATGGTCACTATCTTTAACACTTGCTTTTCTAGATACCTTGTCTGTTTTCTTCCCAGTAGTAAATAACCAGGGTTGCAACCTATTGAACCATAAGTTTATGAAGAAAATCCTTCTACTGTTTTTCAAAGTGCCTGTTGCAGTAATCTTAGTTTTACCTGCCTGCTTCTGCCCTTTTTCTTCCTTTCTCCTTCCTCCACACATTCCTAATGGTTCCTTATGAGAAGCCTGCTAACACACTGGAACTATTCATTTCACATTTACTTCACTGACAAGGTTGCGTATGGCATTTGAATGTTTCAGGGAAGAGTTGGCCACAAAGATACCAGAGACAATGACATTGTAATAACACAGATGTACCAAACCTTGGGGGGAAGCGTCTGTGTGAATGAGCAGTAAGAGAATTAAGAGGAAGCAAAAGAAACTTCAGAGGAGCATAAATGAAGTAAGTTACTATATTCCAGGAAAAAAAAAAAGGGCAAAAGACAAAGGGGTAGTAAAGGCTGTTAAAAAGGAGAGTGAGGTGTATCATTGCAGGAAAATTCCACTGTGGGAAGAGACAATACATATGGAAAACACTTAAGGTAACCAGCTCCTTATTTCTGTAGTACTCTCCATAGAGAGACTTGGAGTCAGAGTTCAAAACTTACTGAAATAACCATTCACCTGAAAGTAGCTCTGCACTGAGTCTGCAGCACTCAGCATAACACTTGCTGAAAGTGTAACCTAAAATCCACCTATCAATCAGCTCTGCAAAGCTGGAAAACAGAAGACTTGGCAGATAGTCTCTAATTGCTACTTGAACTCCAGTCAGATGAAACCTCACTTGTCACAGACGATTGATACCACTGCCCCAATCCTTTTGCACCTTTGCAAAAGTTAGTCACAAACTATGCAGGCAAAAACCTGTGTCAAAGCCATTATTCCCAACACTGGGAAACCTGCCCTGAATAGCCTGGTAATACATCCTACTAATACAGAAAGACAAAGCCCACCTACCATCCAGCATGCACTGTACTATCCAGCTCTAAAAGGACACTATCTGGGGAGGGAACTGAGGTACACTGATCTTTTGGATGAGATGAAGTTAGGAAATTCAGATGGGTCTGAAAGAGAAACATGTCTCTAAAGAGCAAAGCCTATGGCAGAGAGCAGGAGGGGGAGAATCTATGACACCAGATTGAACCTTCCCTACCTTTCTGAAGGTGATAACCTCCACTCACCATGGAAGGAGCAGCCGTCAGTTCTTTAAAAGCTGTACGGAAGAGTTTAAGACACGGATAGAAGCACAGCAGAAGGAAAAAACCCTTGCAAAGTTGTTAAAAAAACAGAAGAACACTCCATCTGCAGGGATGCCACAGTTACCATTACTGGATAATCTCAGCTGGAGGTGGAGAGTACCACTAGCCAGCCTAGGACGTCAGGGAAAGCAGCACCATGCCCCAGGTGGCAAATCTCAGCCACCTGTGTTCCCCTTGTGAAGCCCCTCTCACTTTAAACTAGCAAAATCTCTCAATAGCATGTTCTAGTCCTAAGAGCCACTGTGTGGAGAGAAGCCAGATCTGTCATTTTTGTTCCAAGCTCTGACCATAAAGACAGTGGAGAGATCCATGATTTCTGTACACAATCAGAGCCTGGAACAAAAATCATGAACAGCAATTTCAGACTCCACAGTGAATAACACCAGCAGTCCTGGAACCAGAAGTGACAGCCAAAAGGATCAGTGTTGCTAATCCTGTCTCATCTTGGCCAGGAGGAGAGTTACCAGGAGATAGAGCAGCTTTCTTGACCAAGGTATGAGAACCATGCATCCTGAGGACAAACCAGACCCGTATCACAAGCATTAGCAATCCCTGCCGATACCTGAAACAGTATGACCTCAACATAATTTCAGTCCTGGAAGATGGCTCCAAATGCAGTTCTTATTTCTGTGTTTCTCATTCATCAGGTGGTAATGACACGGTTCATCCACTACTTTGCTCAAGACTTTCAGCATGGAACCACCACAAAGACTGCACCTGATGCTCAGTGTACCTGGCTCATAAGATAAACCACTTTGACACAGAAGGAACCTTCCCCCCCCCTCCCTTTTCTTGTTGATGTATCACAGTGAAAATATTCATCATTGCCTGCATATCATGACTGCACAGGTAGGCAGCTTGATGTAAGTGACCTCACTGCCCTCATCTCCACCACACTGATGTGCAGACTGTGCTCCAGGGAAAAGCACAAGCTCTCACCTACCAGATGACACAATGAGCTACCCAGGTTGGGAAGGCAAAAGGTTATTTTTGTCTATTGACCATGGAGAACAAGGAAAAAGACTGGGATAAAAAATGTTATCGGTGACCTGTTAGAAGGAAGTGTCTCAGACTTTTTCCAGGGGCTTAATCCTGGAACTCATTAGATGAAAATCAGGAACATACAGTCCAATGTAAAGTCTACATACATCACGGAAGACACATAAATCCATCCAGCCATTTGATTTAGGACAATCACACAAACTCTCATCTGAGTGGCAGGATGACAGCAGAGATGCCTCAGGATCCTCAGTAAAGACTGCAAGCATTCTGATAGAAGACAGGCTCTGGCACATGGGAAAGCCTATATATTCCATATGAGGAATGGCCTTGTGTGATTCATCCAGATTAGCTTGAATCTTTTAGGTTCGCTGGGATTAAAACTGAGTTCTAAAGGATTCAGTGGTCTGCTTGGGAAAATACCCTTCACATGTCACCTACCCAGGCAGGGATATATCATTGCTCCCTGTTCTTCTCATATACTTAAGTCATCTGAGCTAGGGCCTTCTTTAAGACCATCAGTATTGTAGAAAGACCACACAGCAGAACCCTATTCTGGAAGAAACAGAGCCCACAATGAGGCAGAGATGCTTCCAGAGCAAAAACTTGACAGGGGCATCACAGGCCATTTCTCACATTAGTGAGATCAATACACCAGTGCTGTCACCCAAACTGGCAATCCTGTCACTTCAGCAGGGAGGCTGCTTCCTACCTGAAACCGTGTGTCAAACTAGTGTGGCAGTTCACTTTGAGGAAGCAAAACAGCCTGCACTTTTCTTTCAAAGAGATCTTCTGCGGATTAAAAAAAAAAAAAAAAAGAAAAAGGAAAAAAAAATTGGCAGTTTACAAAAAAGAGAGAAAACAAGTCTATTAGAAACAGGATTTTTTGTTACAAAAATCTTGATGAGATTATCTAAGTTAATGAAGACCTGTCAATAAGGCTTATTTTAAAAACCCCGCACCAAAGACACTAACAGGTAAAGTGTATTGATGAATAAACTGCTTTTTGAGTTTTCTTCCACTACACATAGTACAAAACACTTCTCCCATGACTTCCTTTGCACTTTAATACCAATTATAAAATTCTGAAAGAAGCCACAGCAGTCACAATTCATGTTAAATATTTTATTTCTGATTATTTACAAAAATGACATAGAAAATTGACAGTCTTTCATACCAAAGTTTGATAAAATAAGATGAAGCAATTAAAAGTAATCCATTTCGTGAACTCCTTCACAGAAAAAAAAATTATCATATGAACATTTGAAAGTATTTAAACTGTGGCCCTGGTATTCACATTCAAGGACAAAAATCTTTAAATAGTGAATAATTTTAATTAGCACAATAGTACAAATAAATACAGCAGCACTATGCAAAACAACCCTTACAGTCTCTACCAATGAATAATAATTGCAATAAAAATCTGTTTGCCACAATGCTGCTTAAAGTTAAATGTTCAAATATTGTCAAACAGCTAAATTTAATCCGCAGGTCACCAGGTGCAGAAGCTCTGCCAAACTATCACGCAGGACCAAATAAGTTTGTTACAATGCAGAATACCTGAAAGCCTAAGCCCTCATGCAAGCACAAGCGAAGAATAATAAACTTTCCTTTTCACAGGGCTAAGATCCAGCACTACTGAATACAGCTTTTTTTTTTCCTTTATGCATAATAGAAAGATATTTCCTGTATCTCTCCTGGGAATAAGCTGGGGAAGCAAGCAGGGTTCCAACAATATCCATGGATAGTGGCATCACAATTTATGCTCTTCATAAGACTACAGTCCTACAAAATAATCTCACTGAAAGTTTGCCTTTATGTATAGAAATAAATCATACCACCTACTATTTGACCAATTCCATTAAATTTTGCTCCCCTTGTAAACGGATGTTGCTACTGAAGCTTATCTGACACTACTACAAATATTTGGTATGAACATGACATTAAAAAACAGGTTAAGAAGCATAACAACATTTTCTGTTTTCTACTGTTAGTTAAGTCACTCTCAAAACCAGACATTCAAGTTTCCTGTAGCTCAAGTTTATATCTTCCCACCGAGAAGGGCAAGGATCTGCAAAAGCAGGGCCATGAAATATTTCCCTTGCTTAGTATTGTCTAGCTTGAGAAGTCACTAAAACTTACTCTTGTTCAGAGTGAATCTGAAACTGTTGTTCACTTCAGTCTTTACTCTTGTTCAAATAGCAGCAGATGCTTCTTTCCTACACAAAAGTCCTGATATAATTCCAAAACTCTTTTAAATCTGGAGGAGACACAGCCTTGAGTACAAAACAAATGTTCAACACCTGGAGTACAAAAGTGGCAAAATATCATCTTCTGCAGCCTCAGTATTCTAGTTAACCATGCAGGAATACACAATCTGCTTTTCACCCCTTCATGCTGCTGTAAAAAGAAGATTCTTTCAGTCATAAGAACATGAGCCACGAAGTTCAGAAGGCTTACCTAAAGCCAGGATGAAAAACAAGGACTATCCAGGAATTAAGCATATGCTTAGAAGTTTAATGCAATATTTTTAAATACTATTATTTTAAAGATTTTCTTTAGTGCAGCAGTTCTGTCCTTCCATGTTATGGATACAAATTCCACTTACGATTTGAAAATAAAATAATACTTAGCAATTTCTATTTAACACGTCTGTTTAAATACCTCCTTCTGTTTCATGTGTTCTTCCTGTCATGGAAAAAAACACTGACTGAAGTGGAAGTGTTCACTTAAAACCATTTAATAAGCAATTATATCATATGCAATGCATTTTAATCACTGAACAATGCAGAAAATATTTTTGCACATAGAATTTCCAAAAGCACTAAAAATAGAAATCTGAGGATCATCTCAGAATGCGAGGCAAAGAATGCACTTATAACCAAGCAGCACGAACATTAGTGGGTTTAGGTCTCTGTAATGCTGCACTTGCTGAATCAGACACAGGTTTTTCATTCCTCTGGCTCATTGTACTTGGTATAGTGGATGCTCTTGAAGTGCCTCCTGTTAACACACACACACACACACACAAAAAAGAGTGAAAGTGCTTATGCTCGGTACAACAGAAAACTTCGTGCTATGTTAGTACTGCAACCCTCATTACCATAGTTTCCAGAAAAAAACCAAATCACAGTAAGTTGAATACAAACCCAAAATGTTATGAGTTGTTTGTAAATGGGCAGGACAAAGAATTCAAGCCTATGCCATAGCACTGTGGTTCTTCAACCTGACATGTATGGATCTATGGGGACACACAATCTACTTCCAAACATTACATGCATAATTTCTAAGAGAAACAAGGCTACTATCAGTAGTTTTACATTTTCTGAATGACAATTTGAACCTTCTTTGGCGTTTTTGTGTTGGTTTTTTTGTTTCCTTCTCTTCTCCTTTCAATAAAGGGTACTGGCAAAATGAGAAATATTCGTTTACAACAGGGATTTTTTTACCTTCTTGGAAAAGATGATTAACAAGATAATTTATTAGAAATTTAGGATGGTAAGTAAACAATTCATACAGTCATCACACTTTTGGTATGATTAAAAAAAATTCCTTTAATGATTTCCATGTGATAAATGATCAAGCTAAGGAAGACAGAGAAAGGAACTTGTTTGCTATTCTTAGTAGTAAGTGCTTCACAATTCTGAATTATAAAAAGATAAACACATGCAAAGATATGCAAGAATCTGCAACTTCAAAGTACTTACTCGAAGGACTAAGCTGGCTGAAAGCAGATTTTCCTCTTCTTACAGATGGCGAAGAACTTAGGTAACTCATCTGGCGCTGATAGTCCATCAATTGTTCAGAACGCCTCATACCAGCTGTTGGTTTCACTGCTTCCAGTCTTTTCAGGAAAGCCTTAATATCAAAGAAAAATACCATCAAGAAAGAGAAAGACTGAACAAGAAGCTACAAAACAAACATTCACAAATTGATTTTTTTATTTGAACTGCAAAAACTCCCAAACTTTTAGCATTGCCAACACAAACTCCTCCACTGGTGACCAGCATAGGCTATTCTGCTCACATTCAGTTGTTTTCTCAGTGTAATAAGATGGCACAAATAGTAACTATCCCTTACATATCATCAATTCTATGTTGAGTACATCTTTAGTACCCCATAGTTCACTGTACTTTATGATAACTTGAAACAACACACCTGTTTGGCAATAATAAAGATGGTGAGAAGATGAGCTGCGCTTTTCTAATCCTACCTTTGGTTACCCTTCTCTTCTAAATTTCCAGAAGGATGAGAAGTTTTGGATTTTTGTTTTCATTTTTTTTAACCTTTGCTTTGCAAGCATACTTATACCATTTTATATTGCCCTACAGGATTCCCAAAGAAAATTACTGACCTCAATTCTGTGAAAGTAATGTCAAAAGGAAAGCACAAACATCCACCAGATACTATTTGTTTTATCCATAATATAATTCTAAGAGATTCCAGTTGAAATTGTTATAGACTTCATTTCTTCTTGTTGAAATTAACCCTGGCAATCATGCAGCAAGCATTAAATTAAAACAGCTACTTACACACTATTTGTAAGATATAGACAGTTTCCCATCCTGCATAACTACTTCTACTTGAAACAGGATTTATTGGTTTAAGAAATTTCCACAATCTAAAAAAAAAACATGATGGCAGGACAAATTTGGGAGTACCCAGCTACATACAACTTCCAATTAACAACTTCACATTTTTAATATATTTTGCCTCCAGTGCTTGCCTCGCATAGATCTATACACTCTCTCCACTAACTAATTTCAATTCATTTAGTGGCCTACAAACATTTGGCAATGACACAACCATTGCTGGTCAGAGTTATGACGTGCATCCTATCAACGAGAGACAATGCAAACTGCGATTACACAAGTCTCCAAAATACTAAAAATACCTCTGTTAATAAGGATGTATTGTCTAGATGCATACTGATATGGTAGAAGTCAAGAATCTGTCTGTACAGCCATTAAACTGCACTTTGTAGGAAACTATCCTTCTTCCCCACTCCCAATCAAGTACTGGTTTTTCTTTTCTTTTTAGAAGAATAAAAAATTTACAGAAAGTGATTTAGGAAGTAGTATAGTATTCACAGGATGTCAGTTGTCATTGTCTAGCTGTAATAGGCATCTACAAACTCTTGTTAGTTTATGCATAGGCAGTGGAAACCTGCACAGAGTGCACAAGAGAGAAAGGACAAGTGATTTTGGCTCAGACAACACGTCACAAGTGCTTGCATCAAGTGCCAGTCAGTTCATCGTCAAGTGGAAATACCTAAGTAAGCAAAAGTCAAAGGAAGGACTTCAGCTAGAAATAGCTCTTCACTAAAGCCAGTTGCAGAACATGGAATGGTAGACTTGTCTCTAAATGTTACATCCAACATTTTACTCACAACTCCATCTGCATCTCCTAATACAACTACATACATTTAGACTTGCAGAGATCACTTATTTACCTTCAATGTTAAAAATGGAAGCTCTCAATACATTCAGTTCAATCACAAATGGATCGGGTAAATTGTATAAGTGACCCCCCTATGAGTCAAGCATGTTTCAAGTCTGCACTCCAACTGTGACAGCCTCATAGAATTTGCATACCTTAACACTGCAGTAATTTCAAGGTTGATTCTGAACATAAAATATTTTTATATAGCCTGCTTTATTCCAGTTTAAATACAATTCTCTGCTTTTGCTTTTATGCCTGTATTTTGACAAGTATCAAGCCCCTGTTACTAAAGCAAAAAGAGACCTCTCTCAGTACTAAAACATTACTTTTTGAACAGGTTAACTCCGCACTTGATACAGCCCCGAGCTACAGAAAAAGCAGATATAGATTCTGTGGTACAGAAGTGTTCTAAGAAAAGCTCTTCTGGAGAATGAGAGAATAGCTCCTGTGGTACCCTTGCCCTCTGCTGCGAATTGTACCCAGGGCATGCTAACTTACACACTATTTACAGTCATGAATTTTGCAGTTTGGAGAACAGCCTGCTGCATACAGAAATGAACTCATCAACACATTGAAATGGCAGTCCCGACCTACTAAGTCTGTAAACCGGAACTAATCCAATTCTTATGTTTTTATTACCAACCCTACAGTTTTGAGGTCCTTAACCAAGGAACTACCTTGTACAATGGTACAAGTACCTTGAACAAATATTCTTTTTCAAGTGTGCATATAAATCTACTACTTCTTTCATTTTGTTTTCCTTTTGAGAAATAGACTGAAGAATACTCCAATTTTCCTTGTTCTTTTTAAGTGCTTTATCTCTGGAGTTTTAATCCTGCACCACTAAAGAGAAAAGAAATTTCATCGTTGATCTTAATGACCAAAGAATCAGATCACATAACATAATCCAAATAGATGTTCCCAATCAAATTTAAGGAATAATAATAATAAAGAAAGAAAGAAAGAAAGAATAACAGACTATAATGGCAGGAATGTCATTACTTGCTCTAAATTGCATTGTAGCTCCTCAAAGCTCTTGATTCAAGATCAATACATATATAATATCATATCATTGATGACCTCCCAGCTTGGCAAAAGCCTCCCAAGGCTTCTATTTTCCCCATCTTCTTTTACTTTATTATAATACAGTTTTCAATAAAAGTAGAATAATAATATAAAAAAAAAAGAAAAAAATCACAGAAGGTGTTCCTGCATGATTACCTTCTAGGAGTAGGATTATCCTTTATAAATCTAGGCATTTGGACGTAGATTAGTATCTATAACGACACTAAAATACATATTGTCGATGACAGAAGGAAATGTCAGATTGACAACAACTAGAGAACAAAGGAACCTGACACTATCAAAAGGTTGCTGCTATACAATGGGCCAAGATAAATGCTGCTAATTCAACTTTGGGCATATCAGGAAAGCACTAAAGCTAATTCTAATGCTCGGTCAGAAAAAAGAAAAAAAAAAAATCAGTACACACTCTTCTGCAGTTATATTGAAAAAGAAAGAAAACAACACTGAAAATGCAGTACCCCTAAACTGTGTTCAGAGAGAAGGTAAAAAACATACCTTTTCTTGTTTTACTTTGCTTTTTAAATGCATGAAGGCTTCAGCTGCACCTCCTCTGAATCCTAACCAGCTGACTAGTGTGCCTTGACAGCTGTTCAAATTTATTTATGTTATGCCTCCTCTAATGTCACTGATGTTAGTGACTACACCGTCCCTTTGCAGAGTCCAGGTGGGGGAGGGGGAAGTAGATAACAGTGCATTCAGGGACAGCTTTCTGTTCTTATCAATACAAGTATTTGTAATTTTTTTCAATTGCCAGTTGCATTAATTAGCTCTAACCTGACAAACTCTAAATGTCAAAAAATGCTTCAACCTACAGAAAAGTCTTTTAAACTGAACAGCTATCAAGTTTATGTGTGGCTAGCATCACCACAAAGAAAGTAAGCTAAGAGTACAGGACAAAAATAATCCCACAAAATTGAGCAGTGTGCAAAATAACCAAAACTTTGCTCGAGCCTGCCAATTAGTCAGTTTTTATTATAATTACCACAGCAGTGTTCAGGAATCTCAAGTCTGGGCCAGGAATCAGCAGACCACAAAAAATCTGACCACAAAGGGCCTATACCATAAATACTATGATCACAGAATTGCACTATATTTGCACCGTACTGCAGTATATTTTAGACAGGCATATCTGCATGCCAATCCCACATCCTGATAGCTTCCCCTGATGAGAGGGCCATAGAAACATCTTAACTTTTTTTTTTTTTTTTGCATTGCACTTCATAATCTCAGGAACTACCAACATTTTGTCTTTAGTCATGGCATACAATGGCTTTGAACCCAGTAAGTGAAAATATCTTTAAAAACACTGTGTGCTTGAGTTTCTAAGGAGCCACCAACCCAATATGAATATTTCTGAGCTCCTACAAAGACCCAGAAGACTACATTCTCTTTCACAACTGCATTCCCTACAGCCTTCTCCTCCACACTGAGACCAGTAAGGCCAAACAACCTTGCTATTCTTTCTACAACCACGTAAGTTATGTGTCCTGGTTTCAGCTGGGATAGAGTTAATTGTTTTCCTAGTAGCTGGTACAGTGCTATGTTTTGAGTTCAGTATGAGATGAATGTTGATAACACACTGATGTTTTCAGTTGTTGCTAAGTGATATTTAGTCTCAAGTCAAGGATTTTTTAGCTTCTCATGCCCAGCCAGTGAGAAGGCTGGAGGGGCACAAGAAGTTGGCACAGGACACAGCCAGGGCAGCTGACCCAAACTGGCCGAAGGGGTATTCCATACCATGGGACGTCACATCTAGTGTATAAACTGGGGGGAGTGGGGGTGGGGGGATCACCGCTCAGGGACTAACTGGGTGTCATTCAGCAGGTGGTGAGCAATTGCTTTGTGCACCACTTGTAATATTCCAATCCTTTTATTATTGCTGTTGTCATTTTATTAGTGTTATCATTATAATTTTTAGTTTCTTCTTTTCTGTTCTATTAAACTGTTCTTCTCTCAACCCACGAGTTTTACTTCTTTTCCCAATTTTCTCCCCCATCCCACTGGGGGCGGGGGGGGGGGGGGGGGGGGGGTGAGTGATTGGCTGCGTGGTACTTAGTTGCTGGCTGGGGTTAAACCACGACAGTATGCAGCATCCGAAGCCTGATGCTCTCAGACTCCGGGTGTGGTCATTGGGGACAGGACAAAGGGAAGACAGAGAAAAAGCAGTGCGGAATACATCAATGGAAGAAAGTACAAGGTGCTCAGGCACAACCCTGATGGACCAGTGCCCTCCTGCTCCTGTTTCTTTCCATGCCTAGAAGTTATCTCCCTGGTTGCAGCATGACATGGATGGCAGGGCAGGTGCAGTGCAGCACAGGATTGAAGGCTGTGGCTCAAGATAAGGTATATTCTTTGTATTGTAGTGGCAGCCAGTGACTCTATCCCTCGCTTGCCCTTTTCTCTCCACCCAATTACCACAGCCCATCAGCACCATTAAATCAAGCAGAGACGAATATACATTCATTTATAGCAGTACAGTACTTGCATTTCTAAAGGCGGTTCAGGTTTTCCAGCAAGACAAAGGCAGCCCAGACTGCAAGAGAAGGGAAACAGTTTGGCTGAAGGATCTTTGTGCTGCTAGAGGCCATGATGACTAGAGCAAGTGGTGGGGAGAAACATTCACGACATCTGCAGCACATACGACTTGGGGAACCAAGCAGGTGAAAAGAGAAAGACAGCCCTTGCTGAGAAACACAATAAGTGACTTTTTTTTTAATTTGTGTGGGAGGGTGACTATACTGGAACTGGGATCAGAGTTGGATCTGTTGGGGCTTAGGGTACATTTTGGGGGAGCATGAGGTAGGGGAATGAACAACATGGAGTGTTATGTGCAATGAGTCATAACAGCATGGGGCAAGAACACCACACAGGGATGTGTGAAAAGACCAAATATCCACAGAAAAGGAGAACACCCTCCTCCCCTTGATCTAAGGTTTGAGAACTGCTGTCCCAGACCTGCTGAGATTTTCCAGTGAACTTCCACTGTGAACTCAAAAGGTCATCGGTCCCTAGGAACTTGGCTGAACACAGCAGCTTAGCTTGCTAAGGTCATCTAACACCTAAATCCTAGTCAGAATTAATAAAAATGATGAAAAAAAACCCCTCCAACAAAAACCAACATACAGATATGAATTACTTCTAAGTTTAGATGAAGTGACTGAAGAATGGCATGGTGGCTGCAAATCTGTATTTCAAGGTCCCCAAATACTTACCTGTATATACCTGTACAGATTTTTGCATCACACAATAAACCATTAAAAGTTTAAATGGTGTGTAGTGTCCAGTCTATGAAATTGAGTATCTTATTTATTCTGGCAGAAATAACAATTAATATATCAATACAGATAGAGACACATACAAGCAGACATGGGAAAAAAGTAACACATCAATCACACTTAGGTCCCTTTCCGCTGGCCAGGAGACGAAGTTGGGAGTATCTTCAAACACAAGAGTAGAATGTTTGCTGAATCAGCAGCATCCTCTATCGGCAAGAGACGCACTCTGGTCTTGCTAGCTCAGATAAGCAATCAAAATTCTGACATTAATTTTAACAGCGATCTATTTTGCTAATTGTGCTTTTTCCATAAATTGCTCATCACTACCTTATAACTACTGTTCTTCAGAGCAACGCACCTTTTTTTCAATCACAGCTCTTTCTAGCAGAGTCTGTGGGAGCAACATATATTCCCTGTACCTCCTTGCACCCTTTCACAAAGCTAGAGAGCACCAAACCTCTTAGATTCCTCTCTAATTTCCTAATATTTGAATTACTTTCCTTGCATCACCTCTGATGCCAAATGCCTGCACCAGAAATCAAGCTGTCTTTCTGATGACAGTAAATATAGGCATTACTCCAAGAATGTTCTAGCAGAACAAGTGAAAGTTTTCCCTAGACAAGGTGGTAACCTCAGGACAAGAAATTATAAAAGCTGAAAAAAAAAAATCTCTGCATCAAAACTCTTTGACACCCTGCACAGACTACTGTTGTAGATTTCTATTCTTGAGTTATTTACAAAACCCTGCATCCTTCTCCAACAAACATTTCACAAAAGCGTATCAAGTAGCATAACCTGTATGCAGTACCTGAGGCCTTGTATAAAAAAAAAAAATTCCCATCAAGTTATAGAAGAAAGATTGATAAGGAAGTTCCATGGAATTCCAGCTCTTCAGTCTACAAAGGTGAAGAAAGCTGCTGACCAGAAGAAAACAACAAAGTTCATAAAGCACATACTTTTAGCTATATAAAGCAAAAAAAACCCCTTATTAATGGGCAGGGTAGGGCAGCTCTTCCATTTACAGTCTCCGAGAAAAGCATGTCATACTTGCAGTAATCCTAAAAGGTAGTGCTAGAAAAATCAATAAGTTACAACTGTGATGCTCCAGGTCAACATACACTTCAGACAGAATAAAAAAATAAACAGAATTGCTCAAAAATGATAGCAATGTTAAACAAAACATAAGAGCTGTACTGATGAATCACGCTTCCAAAAAGAAGAGCAGAATATATCATCCTGAGTTTGGGGAAAAGAATAAACCAAATGTTCTTATAGTCTAAAATAGCATGATGTCCTAACATAAATTCTAAGGAATGACTCTGATGTCAAACATGTCCACTCATGTTGCTGATGACAACAACTAAAAAATAAATGAGTAAGTAAATGAAGGATATTATTTCTTGGACTACAAGCAATGACCATTAATCTCTAACATGTACTAAAATAGCAATGTGTGAAATGACCTTATGTGCTTAGGTTTGCTGAATTTTTGATCCAAAAGTTGAAAAGGCAAGACATTCTTGGACAAAATATTGCAATATAGCATAAGAGAAAATGTTTGTGGCTTTGGGTAAACAGAAGAGTATTGCAAAATATCATATACATTAATTTACAGTAATCATCTATTGTTATGTAGTACAGCATATTACTGTTAGATCATAAGTGACTGTGCCACAGCACTTTCTCCCCACAGCCTAAGAATACACTCTTATTATCAAGGTTCATGTAGAAGAGCAAGTCCTGCTTTCAAAGTTTTAAATAAACAAAAACCAACAATAATAAAAAAAAAAACCACAACACATGAAGAAAGCTCTGCTACGAACCTAAAACCACTAAAGCCTAAAAACATTTCCTACCCAGACAATGAGAAGCATCACACATCTATAACAAGTATTTATACCAAATTCTTTCAGTGTGTGAAGTATAATGTTCTTCTGGTCAACTGTAGCCTAGTGGAGCTAGGGAGAAAGTTTCCTACTTTGAAAAGTTTTAACAATCCAGATGTCTGAAAGCTGGAAGAACTAAAGCCTAACAGATTTTCCTGAGTAGGTCAATTAAACAGAGATGCAGATTCAACATGGAGAAAGTCTATCTATATAAAAGGAAATTGCAACCACACTTACACAGAAGAAAAAAGTGAATAAATTACTTCCACTATAAATTTTCCAAATATTTATCTATATTTTATCTCCTTTTCAAACACACTAATGAACAACTAGGAGATATGAAAGTCATTATATGTATCACAATTCAATCACTAAAAATACCTTATTCAAACCAGTATTATTTTTGTTATTTGGCAACTCTGCCAATATCCTTATAAATGAGCCTCAATTTCTGTTTTCCACTAGAGTAAGTTATTGTGATTGCCATTACATTCAAATACTGTGACAACCAGAGTGCTACAAATATTGAAAGAGACAGATAGCTATAAAATGAGTCAAACCCCAAAACTGACATTCACATAGTATCCTCTGTATCTCAAATACAATGGGTTTGATGCTATCATATTGATTGCTTCATTTTTTGCAAGCCTGTTCTTGAGAGACTAGTAATCATGATGCATGAAACCAGATGAATAGAGTCAGACTGCTATCCAAAGTTATAAGCACGTTAACAATAATGGTTGTTCCTCTTAAAATGAATGATACTACTAAAGTAGAGCAAATTCATATAAACTGAAATCTATTTTCATTTGGAAAAAAGCATCATTCCCCCCCCCCCCCCCAAAAAAACCAAAAAAACCCAACAACATATGAACAATTACACAAAGAGCATAGTAATGGAAATTCATTGCAGACTCACTGGAATAAAGCTCCAAGTGCTGCCTTACCAATTTTGTAAGTATTTATCAGTAGTTCACGTGGCAACAAATAGTCCTTCTCAATTTACTGATCCAAATCAGTTCTCAAAACTTACCAGGTTTTCTCTTTCAATTCTTTGCTGCTCCTTTTGCCTGTTGAGGGCACTGTGGTACAATTTAGGAGGCGGTACAGATGACTTCTTCAACGTGGTACTTCTTCTTGGCTTTGCAGACTGCCTGGACAGTTCTTTTAGCAACCTTTGGTTTTCCCGATCAATCTGCCTTACTTCTTCATTTGTGAAAGAGTAATTTTTCCTTGTTCCTTTAGATGGCTGATCGATGGTTAGTTTTTGTTCTTTCTTCTCCAGCTGTAAGAAAGCTTTAAAATGGCAAGAAGTAAAATACTCAGATTAAAAACTTAAACCAAACCAAACACAAATCTTGCATTCTATTATTAGGGTTTATTTACAGACCTGAAAAAACAAGGTACATTTAATCTTTCCCCATCTGAATTCTAGATTTATGCATTTCAGAATTTTCCAGGGATGCTCAGTTGTCCTCAGTACATTGATTTTACATACGTTTCACCACAAAACTCAAGTATCATTTTGGTGTTAGTTAAAGCCCATCTGCTTCTTTCTCACTAGGAATCCCCCTCCTCCCCATTTATGACCAGTAATCTAGAGGAATTGAACAGATACAGCAAACAACTGAGCAATACAAAAGAATCAGCAATATTCACACAGACACTGTAAGCATCTGTGTAAAATGTATCTGTTATTTAGAAATCAGAATATAAATCAGCCTTATGTGCACAGTCATTACTTCTGCATGGTCAGTATTCCTGATCCTCCCCTTTGACCACCCCTCATGTCTACCTTTACCAGTATGGTTGCCCAACTTCTACATTGACACAATATGCTTAGACTTCCATCCTCAAGTATTTTTACTGCAGTTGCTATGGTACCAGCAATCAGCATAGGCAATTATATATATATATGTTAATGGGGCTACCATTACACAGCACTAAAGCAACATTGAAAATAATCATAATCACAGTGGTATAATTTGTGGCACCAATATAAGCATCAGAAAAGTTTTCCACGCAATACAAAAAACAGCTTCAGGAAGCCAGGACTAGAAATAACTTACAGAACCAAGAACTAAACCACAAATTAGTATTTAGATGTTTGCACAAGGAAAGAGATTTAAACTCTGCTCCAAAGATATCTAAAATATCTGTCTTAGCTGAGAGGCAGAACAGAAATGATGTTTCAGACAGAAAACTGACACTGGGGAAACATGACTCGGGAGACACAAAATGCATTTCTTGAAGTCATTCTGTTGATCCTTTGCTCCTGAAGCAATCCTACATCATGTTGGTGCAGAATTGCAAAGGGAAAGATGAAAATTAAATTTAATGGATGGAGAGAACTGAGTGAATGTATACAACACAAGAAAAATTACTGGGGCTTGGCAATTTAAAACAGTAAAAATCAACAAATTAAACCAGGATATGAGGTTTTGAGACAAAAGAACAAAGAATGCACACTTAAAAATACACAGCAAGACAGACTTGCATAATTGCAAGATAAGATAATAACTGGAAAACCTCACTCTCAGCCAGAGCCAGCTATGTTTATTACAGTTCCACTGGAGCTTTGCTCTTGACCTATTTCTAAGCCTTTGCTTTCTAAAGCTCTGCTGTAGATCTTCTGGCTACTGTTTTAAGAGCTTTGCTGTCGTGATATTACCCCATCAAACCACTGCATTATCTATGGTACAGGAATGGTGGTAGCAGGTTAGATCAAACAGATTTTTGGAGCTGAGACACAGACGAGAAAGTGTTACATAACCCATTCCCCACATTACTCCAATATCACAGTGCCTCCAGAAGATACCCCTCACTCTTACCCCTAAAAGCCCCACACAAGCAAAACAAGCATCCAAAGCAGAAGCTTTGAGAAAAGCAGAAAGAAAAAAACCAGGCATGCAGCAAGTACTGCAAATCAGCAATTTTTTGGGGAGGGATGTCTGAGGCGGCCTTTAATACCTTAAAAACCTCAAAGAATGATGAGCGTGTTCTTACTTCAAAACAAAATGAAATTAAATCTTTCTTGCAGTATCTCAACCAAGTTTATTCCAGAATTGATACAAGCAAATATTGCTACGGTCTTTGAGAAATTTAGAAACAGTATCCAGAACTCAAAATCCAAACAGTTCATGAGTTTCAAAATCCTTCTGGAAATTGGTAAGCTTGCACCATCAGTACACTAGCCAATATAGGCAAGAACTGCCCCTAGGCAGCGTGAGGTTGTCCACATTAGCAAATATTGCTTGAATCTGTCAAGAGAAAATGCAAATCACCTCAAAACCAAGACACAATGCAAACTACTGCAGATCAAGTGTGCCAATCAACAGGTTAATAAAGTATAAATATCTTGAAAAGCATCTTTACAATTTAGTAAGTTATTCTCAAGGAAAAACTAGTACAGCCATCAACACCATTTGGGGAGACAAACCTGAGATGAGACTCATCTGGATACACCTACAAGGGACAAAGAAAATGCACAGAAAATAACTAGAGCCACACAATTCACATGATAACATCAAGCTGCAGTATACTTCTCAGTAAAAAAAAAAATAATTAAATATGTCCTTATGGGAACATGCAAAACCAGCACAGCAGAACACAGCTGGAAGAAAGTAATTTGAACAACTATCTGAAGGAGATATTTATTTTATATCATTACATAATTGATAATTGTATTATTACGAAGCTATGAAAGATAATTTCATCTCTTGCCTTACATCCATAGCATCTCACAGGTTAAACAAGACCGCACATCATATGCAAGAGTGGAAATAAGGTTGTGGCAAAGAACAGTTGTTCAACTGAAGTCTTGACGCAGCTTTGTGACACCAATGCTATTGGTGATGCAGTCTCTTACAAGACACATTTAAGCTTCTGAATAACTGTCAGTGCAAATTCCAAACAGCTCTTTTCTTTCTGTGAATGGTGAACTAGTCAAATTCCATTTAATGCAATGGCATTCAGAATAGGAAATACAGGTTTCATGTCTTCACTGGTATATGATTGTATTAATTCTCTATAAGGTAGCTGGCTATACTTTTGTGGAGAGTGTATACTCTTATGATGCAGCTATGAACTATAACCAGTAAACACAGATTAAAAAATGCTTAGAGATAAATAAGCATCAAGGTAATTACTTATCTTTTGACTTGCTCATTTTTCTGGAAAACCCCTGTCAGCTGTGATGAAAAAAATAAAAACAGAGCAATGACATGGAACAAACACCTTTCCTTTCCCCTCAATGCTGGTCAGTAAATGCTTTCAGAAATAAATGATTTGTGGAACCCTGTAGCGATTGCTACACACAGGACTCAACAGGCACTGCGTTGTCACTCAGATCTCCTAGAGGGCAGTGGTATGCAACTTCTGTAGCATTAACCACCAGTGCTACTTTACCAGAAGCTCTCAGGCAGTTAGTGTAAATACATATCTATGTACATTTCCATGCATTGCTCTACTGGATACTACTTGTTATATGCATAAGTAAAGCCTGATAAAATTTTATCGACTAACTTTACTCTCACCTTCCAGCTTCTTCAGTCACATCCCCCCAATACACAGCCTTTTCTTTTTTCATTCATCTCTTCTTTCTTCCTCCTTTCCTTAGCCTCTCAAAAGTCTTTTTCCTTTCAATACATTTTCCTTCTACAGTGCCTCATCCACACCTTTTATCACCTCACCATAAAGACAGCCTTTCCTACTTGTGGCAGGCAGAAAAGAGACTCCAGCTCACTTTCTTCAGTATGCTGTTCATCTTAGCCTCATTATTATTTACACTTACATAGCGTAGAAACTGCCTTTACTACTGCCAACAGCTTTCTGACAACTCTTGAGGCTAAGGGCTTGCTAACAGTGATAATACCAAATTTATCACAACTCAAAGGAAACATATTTATAAAGTGAAAAAATTGTTAATATCATCATGAAGGTTCTGCTGTCATCAGGTGAAGCCTGAGTGGGAGACTGCCAAAACCCAGCAACTAATCTCTTGATACGTTGCTGAATTACAGAAGACTCATTAATTTTGCACCAAAAGTTCAGACCTAATACAACACACACCGGAGCAACTTTACTTCAAGTGGATGGGGTGAAAAGATCAATCTAAAATTCTCTAGTTTCTCACTAGTTTCTTCAGTTCCTCAACTGATCTTTTTATAGTTAGCCTTCTGTATGACTTAAGGACGAACCACATTTGAAATTTCTCAAGTAGCTCTTTGCGGCAGTAGTGCTGCAGTACATGGAGGCATTGGATCAGATAACACATTAAAAGTAGTTGGTTTGTTGTTCTTCAAGCTGTAAGCTAATAAATTAGAGTTGTGTTTTACTCAGTTAAGATCTACGTTAAGGAAGATTTTAAGCTGCAAATACCATTTCAAAACAAACCGTAACTGACTGAAGCCTATCCATAGATAACCTTTTCTAAATCACAGCAAATGCAACATTGATCTCCTTAGGAACTGTGTGACAGGAGAGTTTAAAGTTTAGTAGAAAAAAGACAAGCAACAGAATGCATACTGTGTCACTTATTGAAAGAGGATCGCTAATATTACATAGTAAGTGCTTGTTCCTAACAAAACAAGCAGATGGCAGGGGACATCCATGAAATCACTACTCCTTAAAGAATGCTCAAATAAACCACAGTAGCAATCTAACAAAGCAGTAAGCAAAAGGTTCTGCAGGTCTTCCTGAAGCAGGGGTGACACTATTTCCGTGGTCCAGAATGAGGCTTCTGACCCCAGAACTTCTAATCAGCAGTAATAGTTTCCACTACTTCCAAAGTTACCTGGCTGAAAATCTGTCCAACCTGCACTCTGCAAAGCACCACTTATACAGCATCATATTCCTATTCTCTCTGCACACTTACTATGACAGAAAATTAGGTAATCCACAGCAGGTATGTATGTCCAATATGCATTGAATGTGCTTCAACATTCACTGGCAGCAACATTGCTTTCATGGCAAAGGCAGGAGGTGTCTAAGAGAGGTCAGCACAAACAAGCCCACAAAACCAGGGACAATTCGCCATCAATAAACAAAAAAGAATCAAGATGCCATGTAAGAGGCAAATGCATTTATTCTAAAAGCTATTAAATATTTCAGGTACAGTTACTGTTATGTAACTCAAATATTTGAGTTTCAAAGTTATTTCAATGATTTATTCAACAATGCACACACACTACTCTTTAATCACAATGTGTAAGTGTTTGAATGGTTTATCTGACTATTTTTGCAGTGGCCAATGACAACATGAGGCAACACTACAGTTGAAGGTTATGATTTAAGGT